CTTTCAAGCAGGGCAGTAACGGGGCAGCGTGACGTCTCCTTGGCTTCCCTTTTACACGAAAGGCACCCAACAGATACTCACCTTGCTGTGCACTTAGAAAATGGAGAGCGTGTATATTTCACCGAAAGAAATTTCCAAGAAAGAATTGCATCACTGCCAAAAACTACACTAACAGACTTCTCTCAACTTTGTCAAACCGACAACCTGCAAAAACGTTGTAATATTCTGAAGTCCCCCGCTATTATACTTGGAACAACACATCTAGGAAGGAGTGGAAACGCCGTATTCAAGGCGCGCCTGTTGCAAATTGGCCCGGTGTAAAGTCATCAGATGCCCTTGGTCGTGTGTATACCGTCCATGTAACTAATTTTGAATGTTTCTGTTTACGATTGCTGCTGCACCATGTTCGGGGTCCTACAGGATATAAAGACCTTAAAACTGTCAACGGTCAGGAATGCGCAACTTATAGAGAAGCATATGAAGCACTGCATCTTTTAGAAAACGATAATCACTGGGATGAAACCATTGAGGAAGCTGTACAGTGCCAGTCACCAGCCAAAACTAGGGATCTTTATGCAACTCTCATATCATCTTGCGGGCCATCTAATGCACATGAATTGTGGGACAAATATAAAGAGCACATGGCGGAAGATATTTTGCGAAGGTTACAGCAGACACACGCGAACATGACATACAAAGAACACATTTATAATGAAGCACTTGGAAAAATTGAAGATAAAGCAATGACAATGGTAGGCAAAAAATTAAGCGACTTTGGAATGATAAGCCCTCAGCGAACAACCGAAAATGAACTAAGTGATGAAATTATACGTGAAACAAATTACGATATACCAGCTTTGCAGCAGCAAGTAGCCGAATTTGTACCCCGCTTGCTTCCCGAACAAAAACGAGTTTTTGACAAAGTATTAGGACAAATTGAATCTGGAAATGGTGCACTTTTTTTAGATGCCCCTGGAGGAACTGGGAAGACATTTTTGTTAAATTTATTATTAGCACAAGTACGGAAAGATAAAAACATTGCTGTGGCCATTCATTTCACATGGCACATTCTGTTTTAAAACTCCCTCTAAATCCATCCAAGGAAGAATCGCCGATCTAAATATTGCACGAGGTATAATGCTACGACAATGCAAACTTTTAGTGTGGGACGAAAGTACAATGTCGTATAAAAAGCTGTAGAAGCACTAAATCGAACGCTCCAGGATTTGCGCAGCAATACCGATGTAATGAGAGCAATGGTGGTTTTACTGGCTGGTGACTTTCGCCCAACTTTACCTGTCATTCAAAAGGGCACACCTGCATATGAAATTAAAGCGTGCCTCAAGTCGTCTATTTTATGGAACAAGGTGACAAAATTCAGTTTAACTATGAATATGAAAGTGCATTTGTATAATGATATGAATGCTGGAAACTATGCTGACACACAATTAAAAATTGGCGATGGGCGGTTGGAAATGGATGCTGACCGCTGCGTTAAATTGACGAAAGATTTTCGTAATTTAGTACAGAGTCATTCCGAATTAATTGCGAGCGTTTATTCAGATTTAACGAACAACATGCATGAAGACAAATGGTTATGTGAAAGGGCTATTCTTGCACCAAAAAATGAAAGCGTTAACAAAATAAATTCAGATATATTAAGCGAAGTAGCAGGAGAAATAACAGAGTATTTGTCAGTAGACACAGTTATGGACACAGAACAGAGCATTTCATATCCCGTAGAGTTTCTAAATTCTCTAGAGTTTTCAGGTGTGCCCTCACATAAGCTTCAATTAAAATTAGGCGTCCCAGTCATGCTAATGCGAAATTTAGATGCTCCTCGGTTATGTAACGGGACAAGGCTGCGTGTGACACATCTTGGACGGAACATAATCGGTGCTACAATTTTGACAGGCGTAGGAAAAGGTGAAAATGTTATTATACCACGGATACCTATAATTCCCACAGATCTTCCTTTTCAATTCAAAAGGTTGCAGTTCCCTATTAAGCTCAGTTTTACAATAACAATTAATAAAGTGCAAGGGCAAACGTTACAGGTAGCGGGGATCAACTTAGAAAAACCGTGCTTCTCTCATGGTCAGCTGTATGTAGCATGTTCGCCTGTGTCAAATGCCCAGAATCTCCACATTCTTTCCCCGAATGGAAAAACATATAACATTGTGTACAGTAGCGTCTTAAAATAGCGTTCAGTTAGTTTTTTTCCAAAATTCCCACAATCAATTAATCAGAATTCCCACAGATCTTCCCTTTCAATTCAAAATTTCCTATTTAACTCAGTTTCTTTTCGATTCCAAATGCTGCACCTCTGACGGACCTATTAAGATCAGTTTACTTTCAACTCAAAAGGCTGCATCTCTGACGGATATTTTATTTGGCTCAGTTTCCTTTCAATTCAGAAAACTGCATCTTTGACGAATCAGTTTAGCTCAGTTTCTTTTCAAAAGTTTGCATTCCTGACGGATAATTATGCTCAGTTTCCTTTAATTAAAAAAATATCCCGTTTCCATTTGGAATAAACAGGCTATTTTCATGCTTTCCTATACGCTGCGTTTCAAAACATTTAAATAGGCTGACGAATCAATTTTGCTCAGTTTCCTTTTAATGGCTGCATCTCTGACAAATATACTCTATAAAACTCAATGTTCTTTCAATTCAAAAAGCAATGGATAGTTCATTTCCTAATGACCATGCGGGTGAAGCCGCGGGTAACCGCTAGTTTAATATTAATAATAAGCAAAACATGTGAACTTATTTTAATGTACCTATAATGTAAATACTATTATGATAAATAACGAAATTATTATTATTATAACCATAAAAGTGCCTAGTAAAAACAGTAAATATTTTTCTCAAGGCATCATAACTGGATGAACATGCATTTTACCTAAGGATTATAACTTATTAAAAACGGCCCTAAGCTACCTGCGTCCATCGACTTCCGGGAAATCATTTTATTGGGAGAACCGATAAACTAGGCTCACCGGTACGACCTTTATTTCTCGTTGTTTTTTCTTTATAGAATAAGGGTGACAAACATACACACAGTCCACCTGATGGTAAGTGGATGCTGTGGCCCATAAACATCTGTATTTATCCTGGATTAAGAATCAAAATATAGATGCGTTGTCACCCCTAAGGACTAATACGGAGTGCCTCGTTTCCAGTAAAAAAGAGTCTCCGGTTCCCTACACTCACCATACGAAACACAGCAGTATTAAGCTGCTATTTTACGCTGGTATTCTGTGAGAGCGTGGTCCTTCACCGGTTGAGTCGACCCAATCGTGCTGCAACCATAATATAGCTGCATCGTGACTCTACCACGTATAATGGTTGTCGGTTCTTGAAGTTATATGGCCGGACCATTGCTAGTGCGACTTATTGCTCCAACTAATGTGTATGGCTACGTCGGTTACTTGATTTCTGGGTAGGATCCACCCTAGTACCTATTTCATCTGCTAGTGTACAGTGCTGTGTGTACTGCTCTGAAGTATAGAGAGAGAGAGCATGATTACAGTTTATGAGCATTTCAATATTGGACGTCATGGTAGTGCGGACTTTTCTATTCAGGGAGTTAAGTTCGGTCTGAGTCCACCTGAGTATGCCAAATGTATACGTGAGAACAGGCATGACCCAGCCGTTATATGCGTTTGTCTTATTCACACCGGACAGAAGGCTGTTAAGCACTTTGGTCAAGCGTGCATAAAACACGTCGCAAACTGACTGTTTCATACCAGCCTCATCGTACCGATGTTCTGTGACACACCCAGGTATCGGTATGTTTCAGCCTCGGAAAGGGTCCTTAAGTTTACGGGCATAGACAAGTCTATGCCCTCAGAGTTAGCAAACCTTCCCCTTTCAACATGGAGGACCGCACACTTATCCGTCCCCAGCTCCATTCCAATGGAATTGCTAAATTCACAAGTGATGTTTAGCAATTCCATAAGATAGGAGCGACTGGAGGCGAATAACTTGAGGTCATCCATATAGAAAAGGTGGGTCACTTTTGTCCCTCCTCTCCGTAGCTGAAATCACCTCCTGGAGCCCTCCAGTAAGGTACTGAGAGGGTTCAGAGAGAGGCAGAACCAGATTGGACTCAGACAATCGCCCTGGAAGATACCCCTTCTTATCCCTATGTGGTTCTCCGCTGCCATCATCCGCTCGCCCAGATGACAAAGGATCGTACTCCACTGCCTCACTCCAGGAAGTCTCTAACTGTACAGTCAATCTTATACAGCTCGAGGACCCGCTTTAGCCGTGTATGGGGCACCGAGTCGAACGCCTTTCTGTAGTCTATCCAGGCGGCAGAGAAGTTCCGACGGTTGCATTTCACCACTTTGCCTATAACCGCGTCAATGAGGAGTGGTTCCTTAGTTCCACGACCACCGCCCCGACATCCATTTTGAGCGCGTGATATCACCTGGTTTAGCTCCAGGTGACGAGTGATTCTCGCGCTCAAAATGGATGTCAGTGACTTATATATGGTGGGTAGGCACGTGATGGGGCGGTATTTGCTCGGGTCTGTGGTATTCTGATCTTTAGGAACCAAGTGAGTGATCCCAGTAGTGAAGAGGCTCGGGAGCGACTTCTGGTCGAGAGCCTCTTGAAACTATTGGGCGAGCACAGCGTGACACACTATGAACCCCTTCAGCCAGTAATGATGCAGCCCGTCGAGCCCCGGATTTTTCCAGTTCGGGGCCCTACGGACCGCCTCAGCCACGTCTTCCGGCGTTATGGTTATGGGGTCCATAGGCGTAACACTCGCACCCTGGCTCGCCACAACTTCCATCCAAGGGCCCTGGGTGTGGTTTACGGGCTCTGACCACAGGCAACAGCTACAGGCGGTCGTCACAGACAGTCGTCTATGCGCTCCGTAAGTTTCTGCGTGATATCCGGCTGGGACAAACTGATATTTGTCCCAGCAAACGCCATTCTAACGGTGCGCACAACTCTTGGTCTATTATTACCCGACCTGAAACTTATCAGTCTGCCGATAAGGGCCCTTGCCTTTGCGATACGGTCCTCAATTCTTTTTCTCCAGGGATGGCGCTACTTTGTTTAGTAGCGCGTCCAGCCATGGGAAGTTTGGCGCCAATAATACGGCAAGCTGCCACTGCGGCGCCAAAAAGAACTGAGTCCGTCTCGCAAAGGTCCCGGCTGGCTTCCAAATAGGTTACCAGCATTGGGTTAAGAGCCCTCACGACAGCCCGATTTCGCTTGCTTAGGGGTATGCGGGGAAGTCGCGGTCGATTTTCGAGAGGCATGCTGCGCGTTTCCAAAGTCGCCTCTTCCAATATACTCCTCATTTGCTCTCACCGACGTAGCTGTTTTGTCACTTAACTGTTTCGTCAGCGGGCGATGGGGTCGTCACTTCCCTACGCCTTATTATTATTATTATTGAGGTATCTATATAATTTTCTCACCTGGTTGGGTTCTATAAATATATAATTATAAATTAAAATGAAAAGATAAATGTACAATAATGTATAAAAATATCAATAAAATGAAATAAATACAAAAACTACATAAATAAATAAGATCCAACCAGATGGGAGCCCTCGGCAGGGGAGACCAGACCTTGGCCGAGGGTTAGGGGGAAAGGGAAAGAAACCGGCGGACGATGCGGGCGGTATCGAGGAGCACCGCCTTCTGCATTTGAGCCCGGAGCGGTCCGTCACGAAGTCCCAGTCGCCTCAGATGGCCCGAGAGGCTGACTGGGATTATCCCATTCGCAGAGACGACTACAGGAATAATTTCGGTCGACACACCACCCCACATGTCGGTCACCTCGTGAGCCAGGTCCAGATATTTTGTTTGTTTATCTGTTTCGGCTTTCACGAGGTTCTCGTCATACGGAATGGTAATGTCGATCAAAAATATCCTTGACTGTGCCCGGTCCATCAGCACAATATCAGGCTTATTCGCAAGAATAGTCCTGTCTGTGATGATGGCCCGGTCCCAGTAGAGCCTGGCGCGGTCATTTTCGAGCACGGCTTCCGGCAAGTACTTGTAATACGGCAATTTCCGGTCCACGAGACCGTATTTCAGAGCGAGCTCCTGGTGTAGAATTCTGGCTACTAGGTTGTGCCTGTGCAAGTACTCAGAGTTAGAAAGCGCCGAACAACCGGAGATGACATGCCTAAGTGACTCCCCGGGATGGCGACAAGCTCGACAGACGTCGACAGTGCCATCCTTTAGGATGTATCTCCGATAGTTGTTGGTCTTAATAACCTGATTCAGTATTGCACAGACAAATACCCTCGGTTTCCCCGAAGAGGTCGCCGAAACGTAGCCAGTTGAGGGATGCGGCTGTATCTACGTGAGGCTCATGTAGAGCCCAGTAGTACCTCCCATGGAGCTCCTTCTCCTTCCATACGGTCTCCCGGTCGGAAATGCTCTGTACTGCCGGGTCTTGCCATTGCTCGTTGGCTAAGGATAGAGGGGTAAGTCCTTTATCACTAGAAATGACGTCATTATAGAATGGATCATCCGATCTCGCCAGGAAGTAATGACGGAGGCTGCACAATTCGCGATTATGCATGGTGAGCGCGCTCAGGAAGCCACGCCCACCATGCTTTCGCGGCAAGTACAGCCTCATTACCGACGATCTCGGATGATGCATCCTATGGGACGTCATGGTAGTGCGGACTTTTCTATACAGGGCGTTAAGTTCAGTCTGACTCCACCTGAGTATGCCAAAGGTATACATGAGGACAGGCATGACCCAACCGTTATATGCATGTGTCTTATTCATACCGGACAAAAGGCTGTTAAGCACTTTGGTCAAGCGTGCATAAAACACGTCGCAAACTGACTGTTTCATACCAGCCTCATCGATACCGATGTTCTGTGACATACCCAGGTATCGGTATGTTTCAGCCTCGGAAAGGGCCCTTAAGTGGACGGGCATAGATAAGTCTAATGCCCTCAGAGTTAGCAACCCTTCGCCTTTCAACATGGAGGACCGCACACTTATCCGTCCCCAGCTCCATTCCAATAGAATTGTTAAATTCACAAGTGATGTTTAGCAATTCCATAAGATGGGAGCGACTGGAGGCGAATAATTTGAGGTCATCCATATAGAAAAGGTGGGTCACTTTTGTACCTCCCTTCCTAAGCTGAAATCCCCTACCGGAGCCCTCCAGTAAAGTACTGAGAGGGTTCAAAGAGAGGCAGAACCAGATTGGACTCAGACAGTCGCCCTGGAATATACCCCTTCTTATCGTTATGCGGCTTTCCGCAGCCGTCATCCGCTCGCCCAGATGACAGAGGATCGTACTCCACTGCCCCATACACTGCCCGAGGAAGTCTCGAACTGTACAGTCAATCTTGTACAGCTCGAGGACCCTCTTTAGCCATGTATGGGGCACCGAGTCAAATGCCTTTCTGTAATCTATCCAAGCGGCGGAGAAATTCCGACGGTTGCGTTTCACCACTTTGCCAATGACCGCGTCAATGAGGAGTGGTTCCTTGGTTCCACGACCGCCGCCCCGACATCCATTTTGAGCGCGCGACATCACCTAATTTGAGTCCAGGTGACGAGCGATTCTCGCGCTCAAAATGGATGTTAGTGTCTTGTATATAGTCGGCAGACACGTGATGGGGCGGTATTTGCTCGGGTCTGTGGCACCCTGATCTTTAGGAACCAAATGAGTGATCCCAGTAGTGAAGAGACTTGAGTACGACTTCTGCTTGAGAGCCCCTTGAAACTGTCAGGCGAGCACAGCGTGACACACCATGAACCCCTTCAGCCAGTAGTGATGCAGCCCGTCAAGCCCCGGACTTTTCCAGTTCGGGGCCCTACGGACCGCCTCAGCTACGTCATCCGGCGTTATGATGACGGGGTCCATGGGCGTAATACCCGCACACTGACTCGCCACAACTTCCGTCCAAGAGCCCTCGTTGTGGTTTACGGGCTCTGACCACAGGCTGCGCCAGAATGCGACCATGTCGGCCTGATTTGGTGCTGGGCCCGTTCCACTTACTATTGATCGCTTCAATGATTTGTAGAGCCTCTTCTGATCACTCTTGAAGAGACGATTATGGTTGAACCATGTTGACCTCTCGCTATATCACCGAATTCGCTTTCCCCAAGCAGCGATTCTTTGCTTCAGGTCGTCTATGCGCTCCGTCAGTTTTTGCGTTATATCCGGCTGAGACAAACTAACATTTGTCCCATCAAACACCATCCTGACGGTGCGCACAATCCTTGGCCTGGTATTGCCTGACCTGAAGCATATCAGTCTGCCGATGAGGGCCCTAGCCCTCGCGATACGTTCTTCAATTCTTATTCCCCAGGCTGGGATAGCACTACTTTGTCCAGTAGCGCGTACAGCCGTGGAAAGTTTGGCGCCTATAATACGGCAGACTGCCAGTGCGGCGCCAAAAAGAATGGAGTCCGTCTCGCAAAGGTCCCGGCTGGCTTCCAAGTAGGTAACCAGCATTGGGTTCAGAGCCCTCACGACAGCCCGATTCCGCTTGCTTAGGGCTAAGCGGGGAAGTCGCGGTCGATTTTCGAGAAGCGTACTGCGCGTTTCCACAATCGCCTCCTCCAATGTACTCCTCATTTGCTCTAGTTCCAGTTCCTGGGCGACTGTTCCGTCATCGTTTGAATCAACCACAACTGGCGTATTCACGGCGGCATCCACATTTGCCGTTTGCTCAGCAAGTTGTGGCGCCGCATCCTCAGCCGCAGCATTTTCACCCGATGAAGGAACAGCCTCACGTCGTAGCCGTTCGAGTTCGGTGACATCAAATGTATTTGAGCGCAAAATATACCGAACTCGGTCTGCCAGGTTTTGCTCGGTGACGGTTACAGATGGCTCCAGCTCAGCAAAAAGTCGATGCATCCTTGCCCGATACGCAAAACCTCCAGTTTCCCCCCCTTTCGCCCTAAAATACGCCCGCAATGCGTTGCTGTTCATCTGGGTTGTCCAACGCATGCGGCGTACTCCACCAGTGGCGGGTGCCGATTGCTGGGCCCGCGAAGACCCTGCCGACACCAAACCAGCTGGTGGGGATGATGGACGCGAGGGGCTGCTGGGTGGTCGTGCAGCACCTCGCGCTCGGCTGGCGGTTCGCATGCTGTCGCGTCCAGCGCCAGCTCGAGATGCGCCCTGCCAACCTCCAGGCAGCGGCCCTTTGCGCGTTCTTCCGTATTCCATCATCCTTCTTATTATTATTATTGTTGTGGGGTATCTATATAGTTTTCTCATCTGGTTGGGATGTATAAATATATAATTATAAATGAAAATGAAAAGATAAATATACATAAATATCAATAAAATAAAATAAATACAAAAATACATAAATAAATAAAAGCCCAACCAGATGGAAGCCCTCGGCAGGGGAGACCAAACGGCCAAGGGTTAGGGGGAAAGGGAAAGAAACCGGCGGACGATGCGGGCAGTATCAAGGAGCACCCCCTTCTGCATTTGAGCCCAGAGCGGTCCGTAACGGAGTATTATTACATACATAAACACTCACGCCTGTCACCCAGAGGGGTAGGCAGAGACTACGGACTTCCATTTGGCACGATCCTGACATACCTCTTTCGCCTCCTTTACATCCATATATCTACGCATACATGCTCGTCGGTTAAGGGTACTTCTAACGTGGCCCATTTTCAAAATATCGCCAATTTGGTCGATAAACTTTTTCCTAGGGCGTCCCTTCCCGACTCGGCCATTCACATCTGCCATATAAATTTGCTTTGTCACTCTTTCCTCATTCATTCTTTCTACATGACCAAACCACCGAAGCATTCCTTTCTTAATCCTGGTCACAACATTATCTTGCATACCACATTTATCTCTTATCACGCAATTTCTGACCCTGTCATTCAGATTACACCCTAGCATATTCCTTAAAGACCGCATTTCTACAGCATTTATTTTACTTTCGTGCTTCTTCTGCCACACCCAGCTTTCACTACCATACATTAAAGTAGGGACTAACACAGCATTATGAATTACCATACGTGCCTGTTTTGACAAATTCTGGTTCTTCATAATAGAGTGTAGTGCCCCATTCACTCTATTCCCTGCATTTACTCGTCGTTCTATATCCCTATCATATCTACCATCCCTGCTAAATACACATCCCAAATACACAAACTCATCCACTTGCTCAATCAACTCTCCTTCTATTCTTATTTCACATACCGTTTTGCTTTCTTCTCCTTCAAAAACCATCACTTTTGTCTTACTTGCGTTCACTTTCATTCCCCTTTCTTTTAATTCCCAGTTCATTAATGTAACCATCATTTGCAACTCTGCCGCCGATGACGCAAGTATGACTTGATCATCGGCATACAAAAGGCATTTGACGGTTAACTCGCCCATTCTTAACCCACATTCTTCATCTTTCAAAGTTTGCAAACACCGGTCCATAAATAGGTTGAACAGCCAAGGGGAAGCCACACAGCCCTGTCTGACACCTTTTTGGATGCCAAACCAGTCCGAGTAGACCCCATTGATCCTGACACAAGCACTAGAGTCCCTATAAAGAGACCTTAATGCCTGTATCAAACCAGCGCTCAACCCATATGAGTTCAGTGTTTGCCATAACACATTCCTGTCCACTCTGTCATAAGCCTTTTCCAAGTCCATGAACGCACAAAAAACTTTCTGGTTTTTGGCCAAAAACTTCTCCGCAATCATGCGCATGGAAAAGACTTGATCTGTCCCATTCCCTTTCTAAAACCCGCTTGCACATCCCAAATTTTTCCATCAGTTTCTTTCATAACTCTTTCAATTAACACCTTAGCATACAGTTTACCCACAATACTAAGCAAGCTGATACCGCGGTAGTTTTTGCAGTCCTGCTGTGACCCTTTTCCTTTATATATTGGTACTATAACTGCTTTACACCAGTCATCCGGTACCCGTTTTAATTCCCAACATAAATTAAACAAGGTGTACAGCAGGCCTGCCACCACTCCCTCTCCAGCCCTTAGCATCTCGAGTGATACTCTATCATATCCAGCTGCCTTACCTGCTTTCATGCTTTTCATTGCTTTCATTATTTCATCTACACTTATCTCCATACCCCTTTCCACTTCTTTCGGAATTTCTAGTTCATTTAATTCATACGACTCTTCACTCATAAACACGCTTTCAAAGTATTCCTTCCATCTGTTTAAATTCGAAACTTCATCATTCAGAATACATCCATTCTCGTCTCTTATAGCATTTATTATAGGCTGTTTTGTATTTCCCCTGGCAGTTCTTACGAGTTTCCAGAACATTTTTATATTAGCCTGGAAATTATCAGATATCCTTCTATCATTCTTATCCGTTCATCTTTCTTTTTCCTTTCAACAACTTCTTTTACTCTCTTATTTAGACGTCTAAATTCTGCCTTTTTTCTTTCAATTTCATCATTCATACCAGAAGAATTATCAGCTTTGGTTGCTAGTAAATCTAACCATGCTTTCTTCTTTGATTCAACTTCCACCCGTACCTCATCATCCCACCATAACGTATTACTTTTCCTTTCATTTGTTCTCTTACTTACACCGCATACTTCGGTGGCGGTATCCACCAAACCTTTCTTAATATTATCCCACACAGTATTCAAGTCTAAATCATTCATACACAACTCATTCAAACATCTAATATTTTCTCTCAGTCTACATTTATACTTCTCTATCACATCTTCATCTTGTAACTTCTCTATTCTTATACGCTGTAACGCAGTGGTAGATACAGATGTCCGATGCCGCCAACGCTTGAAAAGACCATTAATTCGACATAAGACCAAGTAATGATCCGTCCCTACGTTGGACCCCCGGTAAACCCTTGTATCTACGACTGCGCTCCTCATTCTTTCATCCACAATTACGAAATCTATCATGCTTCTATCATCACCTCTTTCCCATGTATACATGTGAATCTTCTTATGACGAAAAAAAGTATTCGTCACAAAAAGATTCTTTTCCGCACATACGGTGAGGAGGTCTTCACCATTCTCATTTATCTTTCATCACCAAACGTTCCCAATATCCTTTCATAACCAGACCTCTTCACCCCAACCCTTCCATTAAAGTCGCCTAACATAATAATATTTTCATTTTCCTTACATTTTGTCAACACCATCCTTACCATGTCCCAAAACTGCTCTCGGATGTAAGTGGGCTTAGACATGTCTGGGGCGTACACCCCTAGCATGAACAGTTTCTTTAAGCCCACTTTCATTCGTATCCATAGCAGTCTTGGGCTTACACATTCATACTCTTTCACACATTGACCCATTCTTTCTGAAAGGATGAAACCGACTCCCTGGCATGCCCGTTCGGTCTCGCCTACACCAGACCAATACGCGGTATAACTTTCGTTTCGTCTCATTCACACATAACACATCTATTCTTCTGTCATTCATCATTTCGCATACTTCATCCATCTTATCATTCATTCCTCCACATACATTCAGCGTAGCCAGACGGGTTTCCGCAATCCACTTTTCGCCCCTCCGGGAGACAGAACGTGACGGGTGGCGAACCTCGTCAATACTCAATAACTTTATTGCGTTCCATCGGCCTTTCAACAGTGGCAACTATGGGAAATATCCATTATTAGGAAGGTTGTTTAGCTGTGGACTTTTGGACTTGATGGAACCAAAACCTAACCATACAACTATTGCTAGGTTTGTTGGTTTGTTGTACGCATTACGAAAGAAAACGTAATGCTTACAACAAACCAACAATTTATTTGTTACATTTAAAAGGGAATTATTTACACAGGGAGAGGGGGGAGAATACTGGGGAATAGTAAACAAAAGAAAATCATTCTAGAGTAATTCCCCCCATTCATATATTAAGTGGTCATATTTTGACTGCCTCGTTTGTCTAGTCGTTGTAATAGTGCCTGGACGAACATGAAGTCCTGGGTTTGAATCTCAAGGGGACCAAAACATTTATTGGGATTTTCTGTTTAGAAATTCTCAGTAGCTGCCCGAAATCAGGAAGTTGGCGGTGTTTCACCCACGTGCGCTGCTTTGGAAAGCACGTAAAGCCGTCGGTCCTGCGCCTGACCTCTCTCTACTCATGTCGGACTGCCGTTCCGTCTGACTATGTGAGTAAGCAAATCAAGAATGTACCAGTAACCGGTTGCGCAGTGGCTAACCTCCGTTGAGACTGGCCGCCAAAAATGCTATATGGAGGACATTATTGTTATAATAAATACATAAAATACAATTTTTATATAATAATAAAAAGATTCGCTTTAAATTTTAAAGTACCTACACGAAAAATCGGAATTCGATCTCCGCTCCAAAAAACTAATTGCAAATTTTAAGTGCTGATTCGCCACAGCTCGGCGGTGAAGGAAAACATCGTGATACATGCATGTCTTTGATTTTTATTATTTTTGTTATAAAACACCTCTACCTGCTACGTGATACCTGCGGATTTTTTATACCGTCTCTTCTCCGGTCAAAACAACTTCATTGCGAAACGGAAGTGGAGAAAAAATGATAATTCGTATATTTACGCAAATACCACTAATTGCTTTAAGGCGGCCATGGTCTAGATCATGGGATCATGGGTACTGGAAAGTCCCACTAACCACGCGCGAAACGTCGAGAGTTAAAAAGTTATATTAAACGCGACAAAAACCGTAAAAATAATTTTAATTTTAATTTTTAATTTTAATAAATGAAATTTTCATTAACATGTCTAGTAAATAAAGAGTGTCCATTAAATTCAATTTCATATGTTAAATAAACAAACAATTCCTGACTTGCCTAAATCTTCATTCTTCCACAAAAGCATTTATGGGTAAAAGAATCCATCAATCTATCCTATAAACGTGCGCTGCGGCACACTGGCCTCCTCCATAAGTTCCCTCAT